ACCTTCAGTGACCCCTGACCTTCAGTGACCTCTGACCTTCAGCTACCTCTGACCTTCAGTGACCTCTGACCTTCAGTGACCCCTGACCTTCAGTGACCCCTGACCTTCAGTGACCTCTGACCTTCAGCGACCTCTGACCTTCAGTGACCTTCAGTGACCTCTGACCTTCAGTGACCCCTGACCTTCAGTGACCTTCAGTGACCCCTGACCTTCAGTGACCCCTGACCTTCAGTGACCTTCAGTGACCCCTGACCTTCAGTGACCCCTGACCTTCAGTGACCCCTGACCTTCAGTGACCTTCAGTGACCCCTGACCTTCAGTGACCCCTGACCTTCAGTGACCTTCAGTGACCCCTGACCTTCAGTGACCTCTGACCTTCAGTGACCCCTGACCTTCAGTGACCCCTGACCTTCAGTGGCCCCTGACCTTCAGTGACCTTCAGTGACCCCTGACCTTCAGTGACCCCTGACCTTCAGTGACCTTCAGTGACCCCTGACCTTCAGTGACCCCTGACCTTCAGTGACCCCTGACCTTCAGTGACCTTCAGTGACCCCTGACCTTCAGTGACCTCTGACCTTCAGTGACCCCTGACCTTCAGTGACCCCTGACCTTCAGTGACCCCTGTCTTCCTGTTGCAGGTGTGTCTGTGCTGCTGCTGTCTGGACTGACTGATTCTGCAGGTGAGCTGATGGAAGAGAAAACAATCACTGACTCTCTCTCTGTTGAAGATGGACAGATGGTTCTGGTCTGATGGACTAACTCTGTTTTCTTCTTCTTCAGATTCTCAGGTTATTCTGGAGATTCCTGCACTTCCTGTGGTGGCAGGAAGTGATGTCACTCTGCGCTGTCGAAGCAAAGATCTGGTCACCCTCGAAGCCTTTTTCATCAGGGATGGTTCTAACATTGGATCTGGACCTGAAGGACAGTTTACCATCAGGAACATCAGTCAGTCTGATGAAGGTCTCTACTGGTGTTATTTTGATCAGACTGCTGAATCTCCTCGGAGATGGCTGAGTGTCACAGGTCAGGACACTGACATCACTTCCTGTTTATATGACATGAACTAACCTGCTGACCTGATAATAAACTGATCACTGCATTGATCCAGGTTCTACTGATTTCTCCTCCAAGTCGTACTGCCCTTATTCTTTTCTAACCCTATTCTCATTCTTCCTCTTATCCAGCCTCCCCCCCTCTCTCCTCTCCCCTCTTAACAGTTGGACTACCTGTGGGTTCTCTGGTTCTTCTGGTTCTGGTCCTGGTTGGAGTTCTGTTGTTCCGCAGGAATCAAACAGGTATGAAAGCTGTCAGACTCACCTGATCTGAACAGACTGGAACCAGACTGTGTCTGATCCAGTCAGCAGCTCTGTACTGAACTACAACTGGGACTGGTTGGACTCCTGACTCCCAGAGCTTTCAGCCACATCTCATGGTCTTCATCAGCTCATGGTGTTTGCTTGGTAGTTCTGGAGATGCTTCAGGTGTGGTCATGTGAGGTACAGACCCTCAGTCCCATGGTAACAGCTGCTTGTATATGGGGGGAGATGTGATGTACCTGTAGGTCACATGATGACACCTGAGCCAACTCCATTTACTGATGAACACCATGAGATGCTGCTGAAAGCTCAGTTAGATATTTTCCACTAACTGTTTATATATTTGAATACAAAGTTAACCTGCTGACCTCTGACCTTTAGTAAACCTTGTTCTCCTGTTGTAGGTCTGGCTGTGCTGACTGCTGCAGGTGAGCTGATGGAAGTCTGTCGGTCTGTCTGTTGACCTCTGACCTTTAGTGACCTCTGACCTTTAGTGACCTCTGTCCACCTGTTGCAGGTGCGGCTGTGTTGCTGAGTGGACTGCTTGTTTCTGCTGGTGAGCTGATGGAAGTGAATTAGTTAGAAGAAATAGGAGGATTTCATAAACAGCTTTTGATGACTATAGAAATACAAAAATTGTACCATAAGGATATCAAAAGATGAACTGAGACAAAACAAAAACCAATAACTCAAATTCGCATTTGGCAGCTGTTATATGTCAAATCCTATAGTGCCACCTAAATCCACAGACTTGCTCAGCAAATAAAGTTCAACTTTACTGCATTTGGTAACATGCTCTGAGTAGGATTTGAACCACTGGACTATTCAGATACACTTTTAGAGAAATGTTTAACTTTCTTGCTTAATCAGATCTGGTGTAGTGACATGAACTGCCACCGGTGCACCAATAGAGGGCACTCGATGACCAGAACAAGCTGGCACAACACTGTTATGGTTGTAAATGCAATTGCTGTTCTATCTAGTCCACTGTGGGGGAATAAAATAAAAAAAACAGCAAACAACTACTCTTAAGAAACACTGATGTCCATAGAAACTATGATTACATTGAGGCAGACAATATTAAAATTAACATTAATTACTAAAGCTAGTAGGATACAGAAGCGGATTAAGTTCACATGTGAAATATGTATTTAAATTAGAATTCTGATTTTAATCTCAGAATTCTGATGCATAGTAAGAACTGAACATTGAACATCATGACGTCCAACACAAACACCATACAGGTGTGTGAAAGTTTAAAGCTGTGACCATTTAACCCTCTCGCCCAAGCTGGGGATCAAACTAACAACCACTTGCTTGTTGATGAAAAAGTGCTTACAGCTTGAGTAGCTGAGCATGAGAATATATGGCACTCCAAACTTGAAAGTTTTTTACAAGTTTAAGAATCAGGAAGGTGAGGAGAAGTCTGCAGTTTGTATTGGAGTGAATGAGACCTTGACTGTGGGCTACATATTAATTAAGGTTAAAATCTAAAATACAGTTGAAGGGAAAAGTATATGAACACTTTGGAATTAGCTGGATTTCTGCATAAATTGGTCATAAAATGTGTTTTGATCTTCATCTTAGTACAACAATAGACAAACAGTCTGCTTGAACTAATACCACACAAAGAATTATAGTTTATTGATGTTTTTAGACCGACCCAGCTTTAATCCGTAATATCGTTGTCCTTTGTTTCAGTCGTCAGGTGATGTGATGGTGATGTGATGGCTTTAGCTTTCTTTCTTTGCTTCACGTCAGTTTGACAGCCTGAATCCTTAAAACCAATAATGCAAACAATAATGCAGGCTGGCACATGGCATGACTCCAGTGAAGTGTTAAAAATGTCTGAACACCGGAGACAGCTGATCAGCACAGTGCTTCAGGGTGGATGGGGAGACAGAGTCCGGCCCAGCTGCTTTGCAAGGTTTCTGCCTCCTGAACAGTCTGTTGACGTCCCTCTCTAGGATGGTAAGCGAGGGGGAGGAGGAGGAGGTGGGGGATGAGAGGGTGGACTGTGGCCGATCAGTGTTGTGACGGGGGATGGTGTCAGGTCTGTCCCATTGTCTTCAACTCGTTGGCAAGGCGTCAGTCTTTCATGGAGTGGGGGGATTTAGGTTTTTAGCTGGTGATCTGTCTGAATCTTCTCCAGACAGAAGCAGAGTCATTCCTTGAAAACTGGTGTTGTAGTCTTTCTGCATACAGCTGTTTAGCATCTCTGTACTTTGACTCCTTAAACTTGACCCGGTCTCCACTCCTGAACGCCTCTTCCTTCTCCAACCTGCGATTTTTACAGATCTGTAAATATCTGAAAAAGTTATTTTTAGGAAGAGCCAACTTCTCAGAAAGTTGCTGGAAAGATGAAAATATGTCATCACTATACAAGTCTTTGATTGTTTTGATACCCCACACCTACCAGGAAGAAGGCTCCATCCATTAGTGAAGGGTGAAATAACAGGTTCGGTGCTAGCAGGGCCAGTGGAGAAGGAGCTTGAAGGCCAAAATATCGTTGTGTATATATATTGTCTCCATATCCTCACAGTAGATGTAACTATTATACTCTTTTAATAGGGTCAAATGGGGTGATTTACAGGAGCATGGATAAGCGCAGCCCTCAAAATGGAGCCAGAACTGGATTGCCCTGAGGTTACAGGCTCAGTAATAAAATCTTAAATTTGGCAATGCCAGATCCCCCTGAAATTTTAGTCCCTGAAGCAAGGGTCTGCGTTGTCTCAGAATCTTTTAGTTCCAGATAAATTCAGATATTAATTTTATCAATCTTGGAAAAAAAAGACTGTGGAAGAAAGATGGGCAGACATTGAATGAATTAGAGTTGACACAGGCTGTGAGGGATAGGTTTAAAAGTCCAGCACCAGTGCTCAAAGTCACCTTAAAACTTAGCAACCAACGGGAGAATGTTAGCTTCAAATAAATCTTCAAACTTAGCCATGATCCAAATACTTAAGTATGCAAAACTATCTGAAGCAACCTTAAATGGAAAATTGTGCAGTGGGAAACTTCTTACTGCCAGATACAAGGGAAAAAATTCACTTTTGGTCAGATTGACTTTGTAGCCAGACACATGGCCAAAAGTAATAATGTGTCTAAAATAGCCGGAATTGAGACTGAGGGGTCTGAAATTTACACTAAAAGATCATTTGCATAAAGCCAGACCGTTTGCTTGACACCGAACCTGAACTTGAAGAAAATCAGTTGGTCCTCCCACTCTAGCTGCAAACAATCCGTCTCATACACAATCATTATAAAGTCATAACAAAGGCTGAAATGACTTGAAACTTGACAAGTATGACTGATGTGGAATAGTTGAATTAAGTATCATTATTAATATTATTATTATTAAGGAGTCCAAAAGTTTGTGAACGTTTTAAAGTTAAAGAGGTTGAAGCTCAGTGAGTTTGAAGGATTTTCTCATTGACTTTCATTATAGGAAGTTTCAAAGAAAGTTGAATATCTTGAAGAGTTTGAAGAGGATTTGAAATTTGAAAAATGAAAAGAAATAAGGAAAGCTGTGGAACATTTTCATATTTGAATGAGTTTATAGCTGAAAGTATGAATTACATAACAGTTGAAAAACCTTGAAAAACTGAAAATGGGGACATTTTGATCATTCAATCCATCCACGAAAAAAACCTGGAAAACCTTGAATATCTTGAAAAGTATGAAGGTTATAAAAATTCTTAATACATCCCCACATGTCCTGTTGAGATGAATATTTCAATCATGACGTTTCTAATTTGAAACCTACTTGGCAACAAACCTGACTGTGATTCTTGTTCTCCTCCGTCAGACTCCTCTCTGTCTGTGCTCAGACTCTGCTGCCATCTAGTGGTCTTCTGTCCATACTGCGTCTCTACTGGTCTGATGCTGTCCATCTGCTGCAGCAGGAAGACAGGAAACAAACCAGCCGTTTCCATGGAGATGACCCAGCGGGTTGGAGGAAGTGATACATTGGATGGCGATTATGATGACATCACTGCTGATGTCACCACGAGCACGCCTTCTGAGCTGTGAACAGAGTGACAGCAGCTGTCTTTAACATGGACTCTGATCAATAACATGATGGATCTGAAGATGAGAGTTTCTATCATCTGCTCTTATGGAGATGCTGCTGGAGAGCATTGTCTTACACGTTGCTCCAGAATCTTCCACAGGTGTGAAACCGGGTTGAGATCTGGTGACTGTAAAGGCCGCAGCATTTTATTCACATCATTTTCATCCTCACCAAAGCGTTCAGTGACCCTGCTGCACGAAGCATCTGCATCTGATGTTCCTCCTCTCTTTGATTCAGCTTCTTCCTTTCATTTGTCCCCGTCTGTTTGTTGTAGAAGCCCTGCTTTTTGGTA